CATTACTACGAACAAAGCTAGTGGAGGTGATGGAATTCCAGTGAATTATTTCAAATCCTAAAAGATGATACTATTACAGCACTGTACTCAGTATGTCAGCAAATTTGGAAAACTCAGCAGTGGCCACAGGACTGGAAAAAGTCAGTTTTCATTCCAATTCCAAAGAAAGACAATGCCAAAGAATGTTCAAACTACCACACAATTGTACTCATTTACATGCTAGCAAGGTAATGCTCAAAATCCTTCAAGCTAGGCTTCAACAGTACGTGAACCAAGAACTTCCAGATGTACAAACTGGATTTAGAAATGGCAGAGATACCAGAGACCAAATTGCCAACATCTGTTGGATCATGGTAAAAAGAAAGGTATTAAAAAAAAATCTACTTCTGCTTCATTGACTACGTGAAAGTCTTTGACTATGTAGATCACAACAGACTGGGCAATTCATAAAAAAATGGGAATACCAGACCACCTTACCCGTCTCCTCAGAAACCTGTATGCAGGTCAAGAGGCAATAGTTAGAACCTCATGTGGAACAGAGGACTGGTTCAAAATTGAGAAAGAAATAGTATATCAGGGCCGTATATTGTCACTCTGCTTATTTAACCTATATTCAGAGTACATGATGCAAAATGCCAGGCTGGGTGAATCACAAACTGGAATCATGATTGTCAGGAGAAATATCAACAGCCTCAGATATGCAGATGATACAACTCTAATGGTAGAAAGTGAAGAGGAACTAAAGAGCCTCTTGATGAAGGTGAAAGAGGAGAGTGAAAAAGCTGGCCTACAATGCAACATTCAAAAAACTAAGATCACAAAAAAGAAAAAAACTAAGATCATGGCATCTGCTCCCATCATTTCATGGCAAATAGATGGGGAAAAGTAAAAACAGTGGTGAACTTTATTTTCTTGGGCTCCAAAATCACTGCAACCTTGGTGACTGCAACCTTGAGATTAAGACACTTGCTCCTTGAAAGGAAAACTATGACAAACCTAGACAGCATATTAAAAAGTAGTGACGTCACTTTGCCGACAAAGGTCCGTATAGTCAAAGCTGTGGTTTTTCCATGAGTCAAGTATGGATGTGAGAGTTGGACCACAAAGAAGGCTGAGCATTGAAGATTTGATGCTTGCCAAGTGTTGTGCTAGAGAAGACTCTTGAGAGTCCCTTGGGCAGCAAGGAGATCAAACCAGTCAATCCTAAGGAAAATCAATCCTGAATGTTCATTGAAAGGACTCATGCTGAAGCTGAAGCTCCAATACTTTGGCCACCTGATGCAAAGAGCTGACTCATTGGAAAAGACCTTGATGCTGGGAAAGATTGAAGGCAGGAAGAGAAGGTGGTGACAGCGGATAAGATGGTTGGATGGCATCACTGACTCTATGGACATGAGTTTGAGCAAACTCTGGGAGATAGTGAAGGACAGGGAAGCCTGGTGTGCTGCAGTCCATGGGGTCACAAAGAGTTGAACGTGACTTAGCAACTGAACAAGAACAACATGATGTCTTGGGAGTGTGAGGAAGTAACTTGTGCATAGAGTACTGCTTGTGATTGAGTGTCACTTGTAGGAACAATATAAGTAGGGATTGGTAGGGTCCTACATGTCATGTGTGTGTTGATTTTTATGTTGAAGACAGTCTTGTTGGTAGTCAGGGAAGCTTATTATAAAGGATTTTAAGTAGAATGACTTGATCAGATTTGATGCTGAACAATCAGTTGGAATCATGTTCTAGAATCTCAGAAATACAGTTGAGGGTAGAGTATAAATTTAACTAAAGGACATAATAATGGGTAAAATGTATGTCTTACTTGGTTATGAGGCAGGAAAATAAATATGACATTATTGCATTCTGAGTGTTGCAGTATGAAGTGGTATGGATTGCATATAGAAGAGGAGCAGGTCTTCTGGGACTGCACATTTAAGAGTCATAGGTCTATGGGTGGTGTTTGCACCTAGAATATTCATGAGATTTTCTAAGAAAATAATTTAAAACAGAGATGAAAGACCTGAAGGTAGACCTCTAGACAAAAGCAACCTTCACAGGATAATGGTTAAAGAAGAATCGTCTAAATCTATGATGTTAGCACTGTGGGTTATATTCGATTATTAGGTTGCAAGATCAATAATGACTTAGTACTAAACCACCACTACCAAAATCAATAATAGTGAATGGGAAATTAATATGATTGATTATAGACAGGATTTTAAAAACATGGATTAGGAGAGAATAGAAATTACGATATCAGGGTATGTGTGGTAAAGGTGATTATTGTTTTCTGATGTTTTGTTCAGATATGTGCATTTGTACTTTGGGTACAGTATAAAATGTCTTTATTATGAATTGTAAACACAAACTTTTGAAAAACAACAGAAGAGACTAAGGAAGAACAGTTGGAAATAATTAAATCACTTTTGTTCTTCACTGCTCTGATGGCAAGGAAAAGAAATGGACCCAGTGAAAGTGCAGTAGGAAGTAGATTTTTCTTTTCATTGTACAGTTGCTTTCCCCCAGGCCACCTTTATCACATCAGTTATGTAAGGAGGAAAAATACAAAGAAATAAGGGGAAAGGGCTTGCAAGATAATGAACTGAAGGGTAGAGAAGGAGAGGAAGAAAGAGAAAGTATGAATAAGAAATATGGATGAGAGAGAATAAACCCCATATGGAAGCCTGGCTTTTGGCCTAACCTGACTGACTGGCTCCAGAAGCTCCATTTCCTAGCACCATGGCCCAACAATGCCCCTTGGATTTGTCTTGACACGGCATCTCTGTTTCTTATTAGAGATTAAGCTGGATGAAGAACCTGGGGTAAGGGTACAAAACTACCTCTAATTAAAATTGTGATTTAGTTATATCACTAATAAAAGTTATTGAGAGCTTAACTAGGCGTCAAGAACTATTCTAAGCACTTTAAATGCATGATCTCACCAAGTAAGTAAATATTTGTTAAGCCCTTAGAACAATGTCTGGCACATGGTAAGCACTTGGTGAGTATTGGATATTATTATTATTTAATTAATGATTAGGGAAAAGCTACTAAATATCACCATTTTACTAGTAAGGAAATTGAAGTATAGCAAAGTTATACTTTAACAAAGATAGCAAAGTAACTTTCTCAGAATCTTACAGCTGGAAAGAAATAGAATCTTTCACTTTTGAGTTGGAGGTGAGAGACTGATGAGTATAGGTACATAGCTACCCACTCCAGTATTCTTGCCTGGAAAATCCCACGGACAGAGGAGTCTGGTGGACTACAGTCCATGGGGTTACAAAAGAGTTGGACATGACTTGGCAACTAAATGACAGTGAAGGGTTATATGGTGATTGGTGCTTGAAATATGATGATAGAAGACAGAATAGACAAAATAGGTCTTAAGTGAAAGACATTATGAAAAACAAAATCCCTTTAGCTTGGTGACTGGTTGGATATGACGTAGAAGGGTAAGTAAGATTTTAAGTTGGTTGTCTGGGGAAATAGTGAGTAGGATGTAAGAAAAGGAAGAAAACCTTTATGCTAGGAAATGATGATAAATTCCATTTAATAGTATTGAATTTTATGTCAGATGGTCAAGTGAGGATTAGCAGGGAATTCAAAACTAAAGTTAGAGATGTTTAGGCATTATCACATAAAGGAGTTGCAGACGCTTTAAGAGTGTTTGAGATCCCCAAGGATAACCAATAAGTTTTTGGTTGCAAAAAATCTGGCCATAATAATAGCCCCCACACAACATTTCTACACCTTTGTCCACACCTGCTTTTTAGAAAATCGACAAGCAATTCCAGGAATCTTTAAAAAAAGAGTATGTCACTACTGGGACTTCCCCGGTGGCTCAGTTTGCAAAGAAGCCTCCTGCAATGCAGGAGTTTGATGCCTGGGTCGAGAAGATCCCCTGGAGAAGGAAATGGCAACCCACTCCAATATTCTTGCCTGGGAAATCTCATAGACAGAGACTGGCAGGTTACAGTCCATGGGTCACAAGAGTGAGACACGACAATGGTTAAAGCATCACCATGTCACTACTGCTCCAGGGACAGCCTGTTGTTGGGCGTGCACTGTTTTGCTCGCTGCTGCCCTGCTTTCTGTGGCTGTCTCCTCTTGCTGCCACCCCACCGTCTGTGAATGGGGGGAGCTTCCGTTGTGGTTTAGCACCTTCCCCGCCACCACAGCAATTGCTCTTTTAGACCAATGACGTTCTCAGAGACCCTGGAGAGTCAGTGGTGAAAAAGCTCTTCTACTTTTTCTTATTTTTCCATCAGTTTCAGACTTGATATCCATTGACTTTTTCAGCAGTTCTGTCCAGGTGACAGATGTATTGGCTTTATGGTTCCTTAAATCACTTTCTTATGCCTAGATGATTCCTGACCATCAGATAGACTCTTACAGAAAATGTTTCTCAGTGTCTGCCCCATTGGTCCTTAGGCATATCTAGACTTGTCTAAATCCTAGGGTGAAGGCTGCTTACTAGGCTTAAACTGAAGCCAGGACCCTTCCTGCAAGCTCTATCAAAGTGGGAAATTCCCATATTTTCCAAGATTATTTCATCACTTGCTACTTCTGGTCTCTTTACTGCTTCCTGTGGTATTTTCCTGGTTGATCTGAGGTTGTTTCTTCTCTCCAAATGGAGCAATCACATGTACTTACTATGAAATTAGGTCCTATCTGAATATTCTATGCGGAGGCTTGATTCACTTTTTTCTTTTATTTCTTCTTACGATTTTCCATGCCTCTTTATGGGAGTTTAGTAAAGAGTTGACCATCTAGCACATTTTCCTTTGAAATGAGTATTGGTAATTTTTTTTTTCTGGTTACCTGTGAAGAATCCCAATGAGCCTTTTTGAAAACTCATCATTTGCAGTTATTTTAGAACAGCAATTTATTGAAAGCTACTGTATTAGAAATGTTTTATTGCACTGCACTACAGCTATGAAGTGCAAGGAACCATGAAGATTGAAAATTACAAATGACAGATGTGTCTCTTTCTTCTTACTTTTTAGCCTTCTTTGAATCCTGGGGGCAGCCAGTCATCTGATGTGGTGCTTTTGAACCACTGGAAAGTGAGGAATTTTGAAGTACAGCGTGGTGATGTTGTGTCATTAGTGTGAGTAAATCAGAAACATACTATATTCCTATAGGAGATGATTTATAACAATCTGATTTAGCTAGTAATTCCCTGTTTTTTCATAATATTTAATGTAATGACCATATGGTCAATTAATAAATAGGTTCATTTAAAATGTAATACATTTTTCAAAATCTATTTTGAAATGTAACAATACTATGAAAGAAGATTTTTTCCTATTATACTTAAAATTGATCCGTTGATTGATATACTTGGTTTTGGCAAAATGTGTTTAGTGAAATATTGGTTGGAAATTATTATATTGATGATCTAAAGTACATGTATCTGGTAGTTGAGTTATTTTGAAATATTGCATTTTGGAAGCAACTTGTATGTTACTCTCATGCTTTATTAGCTGTGTAGCTACAAAATATTTCTAAACCATTGTAAATGTGACATGAAATTCAGTGGCATATATATACATATATATATCTATCTATATATATATCTATTTATATATCTCTCAGTAATTTAACTGAAAAAAGGAAGTTTGGAAGATGGTAGACTGGAAGCTTTTGTTTGGGACCAAAAGGTGGCACTGTTTCTCTGTTAAAGTATTACGACTGGTCAGGAACAAGAATTTCATTCCAATCTCAGTGTAGAGAAGGAATGTCAAAATGTACATGACTGACACAATGATATTCCTAATGTTTGAATGATTTAGACTTGAGATTTGTTTGTTTATTTTAAAAGTAAATTTACACTGAGAAGACTGCTACAGAACTTGCCTAATTTCTGCTGTTTTCAGCTACTTATACAAATGTTTTAATATGATTCCCTGTTATGCCAGTTAGTGCACTGGGGAAGCAGTTAATATAGTAGTTACTGTTATTTGTTTTAATGATAGTAAAATCCTACTGTTTGGTGAAGACTGCCAACATATAAGTATGATTCTTGAATTAGAATAATTGTTTATTATTGGGTGATAATTTATAATTGGTAAAAGTAAAATGTTATCTACTTGTTCTTACTTACCTTTGGTTACTGCTTTGTGGAAAGAGATGTTTTCTAAATGTGTCTCAGTCAAGCCTGTTCTACTAAGATTTATTTGAAAACATATTAACTAAACCTGGTCAGTAACTAATGAAATAAATTTGAGTGGAGTTTTGTATGGCAGACATCCAAGGATGGGGATTAATGCTTCTCATATTCTTGAGTGCTTTCTTTAATATTACTACTCTTCATAGTATCCTTTTACTTTGTCATTCAGGGAACTGTTTCTGCAACCTCCTTAACAACCTTCCCATGCTGGGTTAGCCTGTCGTGTGCTCATTATTCTTTCGCTTTTGGTTTGACAAGGTTACATCCTCACTTAGTCTGTGATGGAGAGGATACCCACCCAAGTGAAAGAGGTCACCTTATAAGCAGACTATTGTGCAGTATATTTTTTCTGTGAGAAACATGCTGACTATATTTAACCAAATGAATTTGAATAGGTAATTGGGGAGGAAAAAAGGCTCCTTAAAATCCAGGTTTGCATGGATCCAAAACGGTACCCTAGCATATCCTAGATTATATTAAAAAAAGAGAGTGTTATCCTTTTATGTAAATATTAAAGTGATTGATATTTATTATATAAATTAATTTCAAGAACTGTATTTTAAACAATTTAACTATGTGATGTATCTCTGTCAGGTATAAATAACACAAATTTTCTTTCATAATGCTTGTTGTTAGTAGGAGCTATTTACATATAAAAATGCTTAGTGATTCGTATCATATTATTTAACAACAAATAATCATCAAGCAGTAACTGTTGCTTTCTTTTGATGAACAACCAGGCTTATACTTCTTTAGTATGATGCAATACTAATAAAAGACACTGTTTAAAGTATCTTTTTAGTTTTATGAGCAAAAATGCTTTCTGGACACATGTCCTTACATTAGAATATCCTGTCAATATAAGAAATGTGTGACTAACACAGAAACACATGACTAAATTTTGAATTTATGGCTAAATATAAAATACAAAGATAACAAATTGATGTTGATTATGCATTTTATTGATACATAAATAATATTTGATACAAAGTAGTGTGGCAGCTTATATTTTAAATCATTCCTGGACAGCATTTTATGTATTCAGAGTATGTGGAAATGCAGCATTTCTACTATAATATTATATATGCCTTTCTGGCAAACTTTGTGGTTTGCAAATTCATTCTTAAATTACTAGGGCTTATGCATCTTCATAACCAGAACACCAATGAAAATAACAATAATTCCAACAGCACTATTTAAAAGACATCTGAAGTTTCTGATAAATAAACACTGCAGTAGATGTTGGATTTACTTAAAACAATAAAGATGAAGATAGCTTGATGGAAGAAGACATAAGGAAGGTTTGAGGCTATCTATGTTTTCAAGGGCCAGAGTTATTATTATCAGAATTTGCAAGTAGAGGAAAGATTGCAGGCTTTGTACAAACTGTACTGATCCCAGAGATGGATGTTCAGCTCACTGTTTTGTGTTATTTTATTTGTTGTAAATTTTTTTTTTTAAACAGAGATCCCGGTTAAACTTGCAGTAAGCTTTCTAGGAAAAAGTTGAATGTATAATACTGATTCCTTCTTAGCTTGCTGCCTTTAGTATACTCAGCCTTCAACTGCTATTAATGAGACAACATTAATGATTTTGGGAGAAAATCAGATGTGAACCAGTGAAGCTTCTGCTTTATACTGACTTCTTTCTCCATTCTTTCTCACCAGCTGCCTATGAACTAATTCATGTTACAGTAAGACAGTATGTAGCAGAGCAGACTGTCCCTTCTGTTTCGTTCAGAGTTTATTGACTAATGCTATTCCCTAATGCAAGGAAGGTCTGGGTGAGGGAAGGGTACATATTGAAATATGCTTCTTTGCAACTCTTCCTTCTCTTTTCCTGTCACTTTCTTTCTGTAAAAGACTGTAGCAGGGCAGCAACTGTTTAAGCACATTATTCAGTAACGTTAAATTGAAAAGTGTCTTTGTTTAATAACATCACACAAAACATTATTTGTTGTCACTGAGTCCTCAGTGTTACTGAGTGTATGGAGGAGACATCATACTCTCTTGGTGGATTTGCAGACTAATAGTGGTGATTAAGGTGGATTTTCTATACCTCGGAATTGACTTTTCATTAACCTGTGTGATGGCCTTACTGCCATAGACTTAACATAAGTAGCACTATTTTATAATGATATATCAATTAACAGAACCATTGGGACAGAGTTTCCTTCATAATAAAGTTTCAAATAATCACGTTTAAGAGTGTTTTAACTTTGCACTTTGAGATATTATCGACTTAAACTTTGTAAAAATAGTACAGGGAGTTCCCGCATATCCCCTTATTTATTTTTTTAAATTTTATTAAGATAAAATTGACAAAATTGTAAGATATTTAAAGTGTATACTGGGATGAATTGATATATGTACACATTGTGAAAGAATTTCCCTCATCAAGTTAATTAACTCACCCATCATCTATTTACATTTTGTATGTGGGGGGCGTGGGGAGGGGGTTGGGCATAAGCTAGACAGGGAGAGAGAACATTTAAGTTCTACTGTTTGTGAATTTCAGTTATATAACACAATTTATTAACTGTCATCACCATGTTATACATTAGCTTCTCAAACCTTATTCTTCTTATACCCTCCAAATATTAACATCATACACAACCATAGTATAATTATGGAGGCTGGGAAATTGACATTGATACAATACTGTTAACTAGTCTACAGACCTTATTTAAATTTCACTAGTGTTCCCACTAATGTCCTCTTCCTAGGCCAAACTCCTACCCAGGATCCTGTATTTTGTTTTTATTTTTCTTGTCTCTCTAGTCTCTTCCAGTCTGCAACAGTTCCTTGGTCACTCTTTGTCTTTTTTAAGCCTGACACTTTTGAAGGGTCCTGGCCAGATATTGTGTAGAATGATCCCTTTGAATGTTTGAGGGTCAGTCTGTCTCCAGTGAGGAGGTGGTGCTGTTGATGGCAGTTGCTGGGGAGGCCGCAGCAGTGGTAACAGTGGGAAGGTGGATAAGACAGGGTGGGAGGAGATGGAAAGCTCTGTCAGGCACAGAGCTTTTCAGGTTCTTGGAACCACATGTTTGTGTCCTGACTAATAGATCCCATGGCTTCTATAAGTCCACACAGACGATTCTTTAGATACTAGGAAGTAAGGAGGGAGGCCTGTGCGGGTGGGGAAGGCTACAGTTTGCAGTAGGGGTAGAAGGGAAGAAACTAAGGCTAGGTGAGAGATGGCAGCATTCACTTCTACAGTAGAAGGTGAGGGTGAGCGAATTCTCCTTTAATGAACACTGCTGTATGTCAGGCATTACACTAAGTGCTTTGGGTTGCCATTTTAATTCTCATAACAGTATCAGGAAATAGTTATTATTATTTTTGTGGGTAGTAGACATTATTGGAGAAGGCAATGGCACCCCACTCCAGTACTCTCGCCTGGAATATCCCATGGGCGGAGGAGCCTGGTAGGCTGCGGTCCGTGGGGTCGCGAAGAGTTGGACACGACTGAGTGACTTCACTTTGACTTTTCATTTTCATGCACTGGAGAAGGAAAGGGCAACCCACTCCAGTGTTCTTGCCTGGAGAATCCCAGGGACGGCGGAGCCTGGTGGGCTGCCGTCTATGGGGTTGCACAGAGTTGGACACGACTGAAGCGACTTAGCAGCAGCAGTAGCAGCAGCAGCAGCAGCAGTAGACATTATTAATTTATTTTTTAATGTACTTTTTATTTAGGTAACTTTGGTTTATAACATTATATGTTTCATATGTAACCATTATATTTCTACTTCTGTATACACTAAATCTATCAGACATAAAGTGGTAAAACTAAGATTTAGCAAGTAAATGGCAGAGCCAGAATTTGAATACAGGTCCATTTAAACCTGTATTGCTTCATATAGTATGCATATGTGGCTACTGAGCTGTTAAATGTGGCTTTTGTTGTTATTCAGTTGCCCAGGAGTGTCCCACTCTGTGACCC